AGCTGGTGCCAAGGCCCAGAGGTTGAAGAGTGGGGCGTGTCCTGAGGGACTGGAGCTGAATGTGCGGGGCAGGGTGGGGGCCGGGGCAGTCGTGGGGCAGGAGCTGGGCAGGGCTGGGTCGTGAAGACTTTGAATGCCTTGCTATCTCTTTTTCCTACAGCTTTGTTGAGATATTTGGTATTTACTATTTAGTTTGGGAAGTAGGCAAATCACATCTATCCCATCATGCCCATCGCAACCACCGCTCTGCCTTTTTCTGCCTCTTTCTCTGGCCTCCATGCGCCCCATGGGTGACATCCTCCCGCACAGACCCTCTGGCTCTTCTCCCCTCTGTCATAAGCATGTTGCTGCGTGTATTCATGCAGTCATTCAATGGCTGGGCCGTCGTCCCTCGGGGGTGTCAACCACAGTTTAGTCACCAGGCCCCCATTGCCGGGTCCCCTGCCTCTGTCCATGTGGAGGTGGCTTCCCATGTTGGGAGGCATGTGACGGGACACCTCTGTCTGCAGGGCTGGCCTGTGTCCGTGTGTCAGGTTATCGTCTCAGGGTGCATTTCCTGCAGTTGGCAGGAGAAGTGGGTCTCTTAAGTTGTGGTGGGGGGAGGGGGTCTTTCTTCTTTAGACTCTGGATGACACGTCCTGTCCCCCTTCCTGGTCCGAGTGGAAGGAGCAATATCCTGGAGGGTGGAGACCGCCCTGTTTATTTCTTTTGCCATTGAACCCCAGTGTGACTCGGGCACGAGGCTGCCTTTCTCTGCCGAAGGACAGAAAGGTTCAGTGACTGGCCCAGGGCCACACAGTCCTGCCTCCCAGCCCACCAGCCTTAGCCAAGTGTGAGGGTTGGGTGTGGGATGCTCAGTCTCCCTTGAGACCCCAGTCAAAGCCTGGGGGCTTACACTATAGGAGAAACCCAAGCAGGACTTCCCAGCTGGCTGTCCCCCTCCCTGCATGTGGCATGTTGGACTGGACTGTGGTGGTCAGTGTCCCCTCTCATACCAGGCCTCACCCCAGCCTCAGCTCCTGGTCGGGTTGGGGGAGGGAGTTGGGAAGGGAATGGGTGGGAAGAGGTTGGGGTCTTGGTGAGCTGAGGCAGGGCAGGGGCTCTGGCGTTCCGCCACCCCCCTTTGCCTCCCCTGCTGACTGGTACCCCCCTCCCTCCCTGCCCTGCTGAGCGGTCCTGTTGTGGTCTCCGCAGCTCTGGAATGATGAGGTGGACAAGGTGAGTCGGGCCTTGAGGGTGGAGTCCGGGCCCGCCTGCTGCCGCAGGGTCAGGTCTGGTTCTGGTTCTGGGCTCTGCCCCATGCCCCTGGTCGTTGGAGGGGGTGTCACTTCCCCTCCTCAGTGCCTCGAGGCACACCTGTAAGCCCTTATGAGGCGATTGTTGGTTGGATTTCCCCTTGATGGGTGGTGATGTCAGATGGGCAAAAGAGTGACCCATGGCAGAGTCCCCAAGGGTCTGTCTTTGCGACTGCTCATCGCGGAACTGGCCCTGGGCGTCCAAGTGGGGCTCTAGCTCCTCCAGGGGTCTGGGCTCCAGGCCTGAAGGCAGGGTGGGAGGTGTACTGCTGCCGCCCTGCTGTTTGTCTGCATCCCCAGGGCAGTGAGGGCAGAGGACCCCGCTCCTGGGCGGGCCGCCGGCCTGGGAGAAGGCAGATGGGAGGGCAGCTGGGGGCGAGCCTCACTCACACACACTCTCACACTTCGCTCTTCCCAGGCTGAGCAGGAGCTCCGAGTGGCCCAGACAGAATTTGACCGGCAGGCAGAAGTGACCCGTCTCCTGCTGGAGGGCATCAGTAGCACTCACGTGAGTCCTGCCCCTGCCTCCTCCTTCCCTCATCCACCGTCTTCTGCCTGCCCTCACATACCCACTAGACTGGTCCATAATGAGGCAGTGAGTGAACCTGGATCTCGGAAGCAGGCAGGGAAGAGCGGGACACTGCTTGAGCCTGTGGGCCAGAAGGGTGGAATTTAGCCTGATGGAGCAAGTCCCAAAGGGCAGGTGCCTCTCTCGTCCCCCAAGGAGCAAGCAGCTGGGGCAGAAGACGTGGGGACGCTGGGCGAGGGTCTAGCAGAGGCCGGGGCAGAGGTGGAGGTTTCGTGCCCTGAGACACCTCACGTCCCGTCAGCAGGGCCTCTTCCCCACAGGTGAACCACCTTCGCTGCCTCCATGAGTTCGTCGAGTCTCAGACAACCTACTATGCACAGTGCTACCGCCACATGCTGGACTTACAGAAACAGCTGGGCAGGTGCCCACTGGGGTCCCCTGGCTCCCAGACTCAATGAGCAGCCTGACCTGCCCCAGGCAGGAACCTTCTCCCCGAGCTCAGAAAGCCCCATGACACACAGGGTGGGTCAGAGGGCTGCCGACTGGGCCCAGGCACCCCATCAGGATGACAGTGAAGTGGCTGGCCTTGGAGAGCTTTGAGAGGGGCTTCTCCAAGTGTGTGGGCGGGGAGGGGGGCGCGGCGGGAGAGCTCACTTTTCCCTTTCTTTGACTCCACCCTTCATGCTGCCAGCTCCCAGGGAGCCATGTGAGTAGTTGGGGGTCTCCTTGCCTCTGTGGCAGTGGGCTCAGCTGGAGTTTTGTGGGGCACGTGGGACTCCCATGGGGATATGGCTCCTGGCTGCTGAGATGTGCCCCCCGCTGTCCTCTCCAGATTTCCAGGCACCTTCGTGGGCACCACAGAGCCCACCTCCCCGCCCCTCAGCAGCACCTCGCCCACCACCACCGCGGCCACCATGCCTGTGGGGCCCTCTGTGGCCGGCCTGGGCCCTCCAGGGGAGGCCGCTCTCTGCCTGGAGGAGGTGGCCCCACCTGCCAGTGGAACGCGGAAGGCTCGGGTGCTCTATGACTACGAGGCGGCTGACAGCAGTGAGCTGGCCCTGCTGGCTGATGAGGTGGGCCTGGGTGCCACAGGATGGTGGGAGAGGACTGGCTTAGGAGCGCCAGGGAACTGGAACTGGGAGCATTGGGCTTGCAGACTTACACCAGTGTCTTCAAGTCTCTGAGGGGCCCTGAGGGTAGAGCTAGGCCCAGGGGGGTACGTGGAGGCAGCTCCAGCTCCGAGGAAGTAACCTCTAGTCTGCCATGTTGGTAGCGCAGATGAGGAGGTGAGCGCCCGCCTCTGGAGGTGTGTAGGTGCCATGTATCAGGGAAATCGAAGCTCTGTCCACACCTAGTCCTGGGGCTAGTTCTGCCCTGGCCAGGGCATGACCTCCCCCCACCACCCTCCTCCTCAGCTGATCACTGTCTACAGCCTGCCTGGCATGGACCCTGACTGGCTCATTGGCGAGAGAGGCAACAAGAAGGGCAAGGTCCCTGTCACCTACTTGGAACTGCTCAGCTAAACAGGCCCCCTCCCAGGCCCCTGCCCATTCTGGCCTGGGCAGGAGAGGACCAGTGCAGCCCTGCCACTTGTCTTGTCTGTTGGTGACCCAGCTGCTCAGGGTGGGGAGACTAACCCCATCCTGTCCTTGCCCCCGGTCACCTAGCTGGGAGGGGGCCCCAGAGGCTGAATGACCCCAGCCCCTCCCTCAGCCCTGCTTCTGACCTGGTTCTGGAGCCCCCAGCCCTGCCTGCATCCCCGGAGCACCCCAGCCCTCCCAGCTCCGCTCAGGAGGGAGGGGCTGGCTGCAGCAGCTGCACTCGCCTCAGCCCGGATGGGGGTCAGCGCCGACGGCCTGAGGAAGCCCAGGGTGCACCCTTGGCAAGAGAGCACCTGCCTTTTAGTTGCCAAAAGCAGCAAAGGGGGAAGGCAGGCAGGTGTGTGGCAGGCCTCGGGGACCGGGTGCTGTCCCCTCTGGATGAACTGGAGCAGAGGGGAGCCTGGCCCGGGAGGCAGGGCTGGGCCATGGAGCAACATCTCGCCGGCACTGCCCTTCCCCTCCCGTCCCACAGCTCAAGCCTGCGCCTCTTCACACTCACTTTTTAACAGATCTTTTTACTCTGCCTGTCTGCTTGCTCTCTAGCCAGTGACGAATAAACCATCCTTCGTGTGCACGTTGTCTGGGCTCCTGTCTGGGCGCAGACCTCGCAGGGCTGGTGCTGAGGGCGGGAGAGGGAAGAGAAGACGTCACCTTGCGCCTCCTGGCTGGGGTTGATGTACAGGAAGGGTGACAGCAGTTGGCCCCCTCCCAGAAGCACTGGGGCGGAGGGCAGAGGGCAAGGAAAGTTCTTTGAAGCAGGAACTACATCCTCCACAGCCCTCCCTTTTCCCACAGGGCCTGAGCTGCTCCCATGGGAGTGAGCACTGTTCCTGTCCATGAAGCTGCATAAGAGACATTTTATTCCTAAGCAAAACTTTCCTAAATTCGGGCAGAGTGGAGTGGACTGTTAAAACCTGCATGGGGTTGATGGCCATCAGTGCCTCCTGTGTGCCTGGCAGGGAGCCAGGCATGTTGTACATGGCATGGAACCACGTACTCTCATGTTGTCCTCACAGGTGAGGGAAGAGGAGAGCAGAAAGAGTCACCTGCTCAAGGTTCCATAACTGGCAAGTGGCCACACAGGGAGTCTAGCCCAGGTCAGTCAGATTCTAGAAACTGAGTGGTGGCTTTGGGATACAAGCCAGGTTTTAGATTAAGGCCCTTGGTTGAGCCCAGCACTCTATGATGAGGTCCTGAGGCCAAAGGCTGCTAGACCCTACAGCTGGGGCTTCTCCCAGGAGGGGGAGTGGGAAGGGAGGCAGAGGCACAGAGCAGAGCTTCAGGAAAGGCTACACTCAGCAGTAAGCTCAGCCAGCTGGTAAACAAGTCTGTGGCAGGGGCAGGGGGATAAGACCTGGGCAGGCCAAGGGAGGGACAATTTGACAGTGTCCACCACCCATCCCCGACCCCCAGAACATTAATGGGAGGGATGGGAGTGAGTCAACCTCAGTAAATACCCTGCCTTCCCCAAACCTGTGCTCCACTCGCAGGGCCCTGGCTGAGGCAGATTGTTGTTCAATGCTCTGAGAGCTGGCTGGTCGTTCCTGGGCTTTGAAGGCACACATCACACAGGTGTCTATAAACAGTACTTTAATATTTGTATAAATAGACCACAGTATTACCAAAAAACTGCAAGAACAGAGCATGGAAAACATTTTCAAACCCGTGCATACAGCGCCCCCCTCTCCCCAGGCTGGGCTCAAGTGCTGTGGGGGAATGCTTGAAGGAAAGGAATACACTTCTTTGGGGCATTTGGAACATGAGCACGTGAGCACAGCAGACTCCTGGCTCCCCGCCCCTGCTGCTGACCTCTTGATCTATTATAAAAATAATGCCAGTGGGCAGGGTGGTTGGAGTCGTGGCCACTCTGGGGAGAGGGTGACAGGAGCTGCTCTCAGTCCCAAACAGGGCCCCATAGGGCCAGCAGCACCCTGCTGCCCAGGGCTGCTGTGCAGGCTGGTGGCGAGTGGTAGGAAGGTGGCATGCCACTGCCCTATCTTTGCACGTGTCGGACAAAGGCCTGCACTAGCTGGATCAGAGGCTCCTGACTCTCAGGGCTGGCCTTGGAGAGAGAGGTGGACTTGCCCTGAGGCGAGGGGAGGACACCAGCAGCAGGGGAGCTGGGGGCTCCCCGGCGGAAGTAGCGCGAGAGGCTGGAAAGCAGCGTGCTCTACAAGAGAAAAAGCACCTTGATGAGATGAGGTCCTGCTTCCCGCTACCCTCGGGGGCAGGACCCCTCGAGACTCTTCCCCACTGGCCCTGCCCCCTCCAGTCATAGCCCTCCAGCCATCCGTACCAACTCTGAGCTGAGCTCCTGCTTCATCCGCTGTTTGTCCCGGGGGTGCACAGCTGGGTCCCTAAGGTAACGCATTGCCTGGGAGATGAGCAGGTAGAAGCAGTTTTCCATGGTAAACATGAGGAGAGACCTAGGAGAAGAGCAGGTTTTTGGTACCGTCACAGAGGGCCAAGCCGGGAGGTGCAAGGTAGGCTGCTGAACCAAGAGAATAGCCGGCCCGTGACTGCCCCAGCCCCAGACTAATTCCAGAAGGACGGCTTTCTTACTTCAGTGTTTTGGTCCCTTCCGCCTGTGTGCTGAGCCCCACAGCCTGGGTGAGTGGCTCCTTTTTCTTGTCCAGCTGGAGGAAGAGAAGGGGTAAAAATATAAGGTAACAGTAACAGCTCCGACTCATTGAGAGCTTCTTCCTGTCGGCAGGTCGTGTGCCAGCAATTTTTATCAGTTACCTCATTGAATCCTTGCAATAGTTCTCACAGGTAGACTCTCATACTAATTTTATGAAGAACAGGCTTGGGAAGGCTAGATGAATGTGCCCAAGGTCATGGTTAGGAAGTGGCAGACTGGGAGAAAGACCTGGGTTGAGTGGCTAGACAGCACCCAACTTACCTCTCCAAGCATGTTTAGGGCCACATTCACTGTGGCCAGAAGGGTCCCGAAGGAAGGGGCCACTTCAGAGTCAAAGGTGGGAGTGGTAAAGCTCAGGGCAAATAGGAAGTTGTATTCAGCAAGGTCCAGGGACTGCAAAGTAAGACAAGAGCGGTCTAGGGCCCAGCTAGGACCCCAGACAGCTCTTCAGTGCAGAGCAGAGCGCAGCAAAGCCTTTGTGGCGCAGTGCTGGGAGGCTGGCACCTGGTCCAGCAGGATCTGGCAGACGTCCGGGGTGAAGTGGCGCAGGGCCGCCAGGGTCCTGCTGAGGATCTTGAGAAGGCCGTACTGGACTGTGTGCAAGGCTCGCTGCTCCGAGGCCTCTGTGTCAGCAGAGGGCTGCTTGGAGGAAGAGCAGGAGGGGGCAGCAGGGGCAGCTGTGGGTGGCCGCTGAACTCGAGGGGTGACAGCCGAGGGGATACCGTCCCCATTTTTGTTCTGGGGAAAAGACAAGAAATGGAGGTGGAGCCCAGAGAAGCCAGGGGAGAGGCACTCCCGGCAGCCGGGACAGGCAGGGCCGTTACCTGCAGGTAGTGCTGCAGCATCTTGCGGCTGTGCAGGAGGGAGGTGCAGGCCTGGCACAAGTAGCCCAGGCTGACCTGGAGCAAACACGGGGGAGGGGGGGCCGGGTTCTCTTAGCAGCGGCCTCGGCCAACTGACCAGACTAACGACACAGGTCTCTACGTAACACCAATGCACTTCTGTCTCTCACTGAGCGCCTCCTAATGCTCACCTCTCTATACTTTCTACCTTAAAGCCTGTTCCTGAGGGATGTGAACCAAGGTCTGTCCGATACAGCCTAGGTTCTTAAACTACAAGGCTGCCCTTTGCTCTGGAGGGAAAACTTTGGCTCCAGAGAAAGCACCATGAAACCAAATCCCATGCTCCTTAAGCAAAAAGCCCACGTTCCAGAACAGGCCTGCAATTCACTGGAGGTGCCCACCGCCCCGTCCCCAAGCATTTGCCCTGACCCCTCCAACAAATGAGGCCTAAGGCCTCACCTGGACATCCCGCATGAGCTGAGGCAGGTGGAAGTGCCATTCCTTCATGAAGCTGGAGAGCTGCAGAATGAAGCCCACAGTGTGGTCCGCCTCCTCCAGGCAGGCCAGACTCTGCACTGTCCTCACCGCACTGAGGCACTGGGAGGGGAGAGACGGGAGGATGGGGTGACTCACAGACCTGACAGGCCTGCTCCTGTCCTCCCGTGGGAAGGACAGGTCCTGGGCCCACAAACGTTGAGGTGGCGGCACAACAGGCGGCTTGGCATTATGACTAACAAGTTTCTGTCTGAGCTGATCCCAGACCGTTCCTCTCACTTACCAAAGCAGCTGCACTGGTTGGCCAGTCAGCTAGCAGTCCTTAGAGCACTGCGGAAATGGGGGCACAGACACCCCTCCACTGCCAAGCCTCAAGCCCTGAATGGCTCAGACCCCCTTTAGCCCCCAGCCCCCACCCCTTTGGTGCTGGCAGCCCCTCACCTGTAGGGTCCGTTCCTGATGAACGCCCATGAAGTCCAGGGCCTCGGTGAGGAAGTTGTAGCGCAGAGTTTTAAGGAGCCGCTCCATCAAAGACATTGACAGGCGGTAGACCCCCGGCCAAGAGGGGGCATCCAGGGATTTCCGAGAAGTGCTGGGTGTCTAAAACACAAACAGCAGACAAGATCAGGACATGGCGCCCAGGAACCCAGCTGACAGGTACAGCGGGGCCTCCTTGCAGCACAGCAGCTAATGCAGCCTGGCTGCTCGGAGGAGAAAAGCTCCTGATGGGCACTGCCACTGCCTAGCAACCAGCAGGGCCAGAGAGGGTCTGAGGCCAGTGGTCGCAAGGAAAGAGTACTAGGCAGAAATACAAGAATCCTGGGTTCTAGACTCGGGTCTGCCACTAACTAGCTTCCCTTGCTAGAGCTCAGTGTTGGGGCAGGGAGAATTCTATACTATTAGTGCATCAGCCACTAAAGAGAACAACTTCTGGGGCAAGCGAAAGCACAGGGGCAGGGGGAACTTTCCCAGTGGAACTGCAGTCTGGCCAGTCTAGCCTCCTGACTGGCGCTCACCTGCACCGTCCCATTGGTGCTGAGCTGGTACACACTCAGGAGGGGCAAACAAATGCTCTGGGTGATGCCGGCTCCAGCCACTGCTGTGGCTCCCTGGGAGGGAAAGACACTGAAGGTGAGGGAACCTGTCCCTGCAGCCACCCCGCCCAGGGGCAGGTGGAGCTCTCAGGCTAGACCGCAGCTTCTGGGAGAATCACAGGCAGTCTCGGAACCTGCCCAGCATAAGCACCGAGGCTCCCTCCCACCCTCAGGCGTGCCTCCTACCTGCTGGGTGCGAGCCAGGGTGAGGAGCAGGTGCAGCGCCGCCTCAGTGAAGTGCAGGTTCTGCTTCAGGCGAAGGCTCACCTCTAGGGTAGTGAGGAGGGTCGGCAGGATGGGGAGCCTGCGGGTCACCTGCAGCCACGAGTCACCATCCTCATCCACCTCACACAGCTCCTTGGCCAGGTGCAGGCCCAGGACACACACCTGCTGGGGCCCAGGGGCCAAGACGGGTAAAAGGGAAGGAAGCAGGGCAGGGGAAGAGGAGGAGGAACAGGAAGAGGACAGCCAGGTCACACCCATCTCCAAGTAAACTTGACAGAAACAGAACTCATGACCTCTCCCAATCCTGCTCTGCTCTGTGTCTACCCCTCGGGGACCAGCAACTCCTCCATGGGAACGAGCCACCCCCACACTGACAAGACTACCTTTGACTCTTCCCTCCCATTGCCCAACTGCCACCAATACGAGTCAGTGCTACTTCCCGTCTCACATCTGTCACTCCACACAGCTGTGCCACTGCGTGGAGCCAGTGACCTCCCCTCGTGCTGCACTCCTGCAATCACCTCCTAAATGGTCCTTCTTCATGCTCTCTGATCGATACCAGTGGCTTTTCAAACTTTTTTTCTTTTTTTTTAAAGATTTTATTTTTTTCCTTTTTCTCCCCAAAGCCCCCAGGTATATAGTTGTATATTCTTCGTTGTAGGTCCTTCTAGTTGTGGCATGTGGGACGCCGCCTCAGCGTGGTCTGATGAGCAGTGCCATGTCCGCGCCCAGGATTCGAACCAACAAAGCACTGGGCCGCCTGCAGCGGAGCGCACAAACTTAACCACTCGGCCACGGGGCCAGCCCCTCAAACTTATTTTTGACCACAACCCAAAGCAATAAATATTTTTTACATTGTGCCCTAGCATGCACATAGTTACATTTCAGTGAATGGTACCTACCCTTACATCTCACAAAGCATGCTCATATTTTCCTTTACATTTTATTCCACTTCACTTTTAAAAACTGCTAGTTATAACCAAATGAGCTAATTTCGAGATCCATGTGGGTCATGGCCCACAGTTTGAAAAACACTGTTCTAGACTCCATCCAAAATGATCTTTCTAGAGTTCAAACCTGATCGTTTCTCTCCCTTGCTTAAAATCCTTAAATCGCTTCCTATTTCACTTAGGACCAAGATGAAAGACCCCGACAAGGCTGCCGGTTGTCTAGCCCTCAGCTGTCCAGGCCTCAACATCTTCACTCACACCAGCCTTTCTCCAGGTCACCAGCTGACTCTTCCCCACAGCTCACCACACACTGTGTTTGCTGCCCGAATCTCCCCTGCCCCTGTGCCTGCCTGACTCTACCAACGCTTGAAGTCACTGCTGGCAGGGCGCTTTCTCTCTGAGGCCCTAGATAGGTGAGAACTCCACGCTGTATGGTCTCCCTGTATTTCTCCCATGCAGGACTTGCCACAATGGAATTCTGATGCTTCTCTGCAGTCTCTGATTTGTTAGCTTCCACCGACCAGGCTGTAAACTCCGTAAGTGCAATGACTATCTGTCCTATTCACTAATCCCCCCCAGGCCCTGCCACAGAGCAGGCAGGCAGCTCATATTTGTTGGATGCGCATGGGAAGGACAGGCTGCTTCCAAAAGCACTCCCTCACCCCATCACGCTGGTCCTTGTGGCGGAGCCGTGAGCAGTCATCAGTCTCCATGCTGTCCTTGTCCTCCGCGGCACTGCCCGAAGCCAGACTATGGCGGGTCTGGTCGAAGAGTGCAATCACCTCTTCCTGGAGGGTCTCACAGACATTCAGCACCAGCTGGGAGTACTGAGGGATGTCACTCACTGCAGAGCAGACAGGGAGGGGACATTATCATGCTCACCCTGCCAACTCTCACTGCACACCAAGGTTTCCTTCCCAGACAGGTGGCTGGGAACGTAGCATGGTGCTAAGAAGGAGAGTATCTGTCCCAGGGGAGAGGAGGAGAAACAAGTGAGGGAGGGAAAGAATTTTCCTAAAGACAAGAGTTCTAAGACTGAAAACTCAAACCTCACAGGAGAAACGTCCAGCTCTGAGCTGGAGGAAGCCCTGCCCAGGCTGGCTGCCAGCAGGGGCGAGGAGACCACTCCTCCCACTCCACTCTGCCCCTCACCTCTCATCTCCTTCATCTGCAACACTGTGATGAATGCTGAGAACACCTTGGCCTTGGTCTTCTCCATGAGTTGCTGGTCTGCCTGCAGCACTCCCTCCAATATCTCCGTCAACGGTCCGAGGATTTCATCCACAGAACCTAACTCTCTAGAAATAACATGGGGTGGAGAGGGAGGGGAGAACACAACTCATAGAGAGGCCACAACTGCACCGCTCCATCCCAGGACACCGCGGGGCAGCCTGCCTCTCATCCTGGCTTTGCTGTCAGCCCCACTCCCTACAATGGAAAGCCAGCCTTTTTCACACCCATTTTCTCCCCCTCAGGAAGCTGACGGGTCAGCAAAGAGGAACGAGCAGGCTCTGATGCAGGCTCTGGCTGCAGACCACCTCTCCTGGCACAGTGCTCACCTCTTCCACTGCCGGAGGAGGATGAGCAGCAGAGTGCACATCATGGAGCCGAGGCGGAGGCAGTTCACTGAGGCCGGGACTAGGAGCTGAAGGGAGACAGCAGACCAGATAGAAGTCAGGCTTCCTGTGAGCTGACATGGCGAGAAGATTCGAGCTCCATCCAGAGAGCTCCTTTCAGCCTCATGCCTTTCTATCCTAGCAGTGAGCTCACAGGGGTGGGACACAGGGAGAGGCCAGGGGCTGGCACAGCAGCAGCAGACCCCTGCCTCCCCACTCCCCATCGCAGCCTCAGGCCTCCCAGGCCAACTGAACCCTCTGACCTGACCACTCACACAGCTGCAGACTCATGAGCTGCAATTTGACCTCGGAGACCTTCTCCCTGGGAGCAATGCAAAATCTCCCAGACACACTTACTAACGCTTTGGTCCCATCAAGCACGTCAAGAAAGAGCTGGCGACGCACTGCAGAGTCGGTCAGGTGCATTATCTCCGCCTGCAAAGGAACAGAGAAAAAACATCAGTTGGGAAAATTTCCCAGACTTTAGAAGCCAAGAAATGTGGGGTCCTCTATCAGGCAATTAGTCATTGTCTCCCTGATTAAAATGGGGCTTGAGGGCCCTGCTGTTTTTTTGCCCATGCTTAGCTATGGTGAGAATCAAGCCCAGGTTCACCTCCCCCTCCTTATGACATCCTTCCTCTGCTCAGACTCTTTAAAGGCTTCCCAGTGCAAGGGAAATACAAGGTCTAGGAGGACCCATAGCATCTGGTCCAACTGATTTTGGTGTCACGCCCACCTGTGCTCACTCTATTCTAGCCCTATCGACTCCTTCCTCCTCCTGAACATACCAAGTCTTTCCACTTCTGCACCCTGCACTAGTCAGTCTCTCCGCCTAGACTACTCTGTTCCACACTCTCTACCTGGAAGGTTCCTTTGCACATTCAGATCTCAGTTTGGACATCACCTCCTCAGAGAGGGCCTCCTTGACTACTCCTATCTTACCTTAGTGTTCACAACCACAGCATCCTGATTCTTTCCTTCATATTGAATTCTCATAATCTGGAACTATATTTCTTTGTGAATTTGTTTACAATTTGCCTCCCTCCCAGGCCACTCTCCATGAGATCAAAGACCTTATCTGCCTTATTCACTGCTGTATCCCCAGTGCCTGGAACAAGGTAAGCTTTTCATTAATATCCATTAAATGAATGAATGAATGAATGATCAATATCCTAGACTTAACCAGACAGGCTTCCTAAGAAGAGGATGGTGGATTTTCAGAGTACGATTCAAGAAGTGCTGCCCAGCTAGGGCCTAAAAGGCAGCTGACACACAGTTATTCCCTGGGGAATCAATCATTCCCCAAAGACGGCTGAGCCTTCTGATGGGTTTGTAGCCTCAAGGGTCCAAAACCACTGTGCCACAGCAAAGCTCCAAGGCCAGGGGCACTCTGGCACTAGGGAACAAGTTGCAGAAGATGTGAGAGTGTGCTGGGAACAAGGGGCATCCATCAAGCTGAAGCTATTCATCAAGTCAAGATATTAATCTGGATTCCCCAGGGGAGAACAGTCCAACACTAACTCCTCACTACACAGCATGATGGTGTCAAACCACAAAAAAAATGCTAAGAAAAAAATGCAAACTCTTCCCAGATGTTAACTCTCTCTCTAAAAACCAACTCTCAGTAGATACACATTGCAGAAACAATGGCCTCTATTTTCTAAGAAGACCAGGAAATACTGTTCCTAGAACCAATGAAAACAAACTGCCCTCTGGAGAGGGTGCTGCTGCAGCTGTCACAGCCACCTGCTGACTAGTCAACAAATATTTACCTAGTGTCCATAGGGCCCACTGCCGACAAGGCAAATGTGCACAAGAGGTTGAGGAAGGAAGAGAGCCCCTAAGACCCATCCAAGGCCACAAGGGGAGCTGCTGGAGGCTTGTATGAACATCTGAAGGGATTTAAAATTACTTCTCTGCACGTTTCTTAGGGTCTCTTGTCAGACCCAACACCCTCAAACACTCCATATTAGCTCCCATTTTTTGGCACAGAACCTGTTACATTTTAACTCTCAGGGAAAAATCCCGATTCATTCTTTATCCCAAGGGGCTGTATCTGCTAGGCATCCTGGCACATCGTTGCTAGGATACCAAAGTGAAAACTCGTCCCAGGAGGTTCTTACGTGACTTGTGGCAATGATGAGAAGCATCCTCCAGGCGGAGACCAGCATCTGATACTCTACCAAGGAGGTGCAGCTGCTGCCCTCTGTGTCAGCCGTGTGAACTGCCAAGGACTTGACATACCCTGACCAGTAGGTGAAGCGATTCTCGCTGGAAAATTTCTTGAGTGTATCTTTTAATGACTGGTCTAATGAGCCCCTAGAGTGTCATGAAAAAACAAAACCTACAGTTAGGTTTTGAAAACAGATGGGAATGTGATGGGCAGAGACCCTTGTTGAGGCAGAGAAAGCAACCTCACATGGGCTTAAAGGCAGTCGGCTCCGGATCATCTCCAATGTGTGGGGTTCATACTTCTTGCTCAACATAATGAGTTAGGCTGAGGCCTTTTCCAGGATTCCTCCTCCATAAAATCCCGAGCACATGGAGTTTGCTTCACAACAACTCTTTCTGACAATCATAAACGCCATCAATGGATTGGCCAGGGACATAGCTCAGTGGCCCTCCACAAATGGCCCCAAACCAGCTCTCTCCTCTGCCTTGGCCTACACAGCCGTGCACCCAGTGGGAGGCCACCACAGTCCCCCAAACACCTTTAATTAAAATCTCAAAAGGGAAAAGGACTCACTTAACTACATAGTATATCTCCAAGCAAATTATCTTCATGACGAGGGCACAAGTTTCCAGGACGCTGGGCTGTGGAGGAAGAGAGCGGAGCAGGTACCAATCAGGAGGAGAACGTCTTCTCTGGTACCCTCCCGCAAGGTAACAGAACAGAGGCCCCAAATTGGCGAACAAGAAAGCACATTCCCTCTCAAATGAGAAGAGGCATCTAACTTGCAGGAGCAGAAGCGCCAGGCCTACAGTGTCTCCAAGAGCGTGGAGAAGCCCAGACAGCCATCAGCACAGAGCAGGGCATGCCACTTTCTCTCTCAAAGCAAGGCATCACAGGGAAAGGAAGCAAGCACTTCTCTAAGAAAGAAGTTTCTAGTGAAGAAAATGTTCTGGGTGTTTAATTAGGAGAGCTGTCATTTTCTAGAGCTCGGCCTTTCCTCCTAGGGACTCACAGTCACTGTCCCACCTTCCACCACAGCTTACCTCAGATGTTTCTGAGGGAGGAGAAAGGGTGCCAAACAGTGGACTGGTTAAATTCTCCCAAAACTTGGGTCTAGAAAAGAAAATACAAGTTGGGAATCACACTTTCTCCCACATAGTCCCTTCTCTCTCCATGTCCCTTTGGTGGTTACTTCCTATTTTACCAGTCCCAACCCTAACATGTTTTTCACAGGTCTCTTGCTCCTACATAAATATAAAGGGTTCCATAGATAAAATTATGTTTTCCCCTTAAGAAGCACAATTGTATGTTACAGAGTCGACCAATAACAACTCTCATGATTCATTCCACTGTGCATTTCCAATAGTCTCACAAGGAAGAGAGTGAGGAGGGAAATAAGGACAGCAGACTCCCACGTTTAGCCTTTGTAATGTTTCTTCCCTTTGTGCAAACAGGATCCATGAGAATAGAGTGTTTCATGCAGTTCAATGGCTTGAGCAACCCACTCTCATCTGAATCTACTCTTTCTCAAGAGCAATGGATTTTGGGGGTTGGCAGGGAACATAAGAGGTGAGAACTCTAAGGTAAATACAGCTTTACCTTAGAGTAAAGATGACACCTACTAGTGGCAGCATTAAAAAGAGAATAACTAAGAATAAAACTCCCACACATTGACCAGGCACTAAGCACTTTTTACGCATATGCTCAGTGAGCTGTCACAACAAACCTCTAAGACAGGAACTATTGTTACCCTCATCTTACAGACAAGGACGTGAGCCTTGCAGGTAAAGTAACTCCAGAGGCAGACTTACTTGGTTCTGAGGACCAACATGGCACTGTCCCGACGGTCCTGCCACAGGGCATGCAGAAAGGCAATGGCCGCACGATGCAGCAGGGGTGGGCACCAGTAGCGATCCTCTTGCTGGGAATCAATCAGCTCCAGCACCGCATGGAGACAGCTCCATACCCCAAGGCTGAATTCCTGTAAGCGGGGCAAGCGCGAGTTCAGTCCCACAGCCGCTGCCAACAAGCACCTGTAGAGCCCCACACCCACCTCCCAGGAAGCCATCTCCCAACTTCATCCCAGGTACAGGCGCACCTTGGAGCCATCACTGCCATCCTTCACCTCCAGATTCAGAAATAGTTCAATGAGGCCTGGCTGAGTCTCTACTGCAACCGTGAGGAATTCTAGAATCATGACTTTGATGCGCATGTCCTCAATCTTGCTCTGTAGTCGGATCAGGAAGGCATCTCGAATGGCAGCCGCATCATTGCCCAGACAGGCATACACTGACATTGGGGCCACCTGGTGGAGACCAGGATACACAGACTTAAGGTTCTACTTCCAGAAAAACCTCAACAAGCTCCTACAGAAGGGTGCTGGAGAACTCTCAGAAAATGGGTACAAAGGGAAACATCCAGATACATAGTTCTGGGTCAAAAGGGCTATCACCCCAAATGACAGGACAAGATGCCCCACAATTTACAAGAGAAATAGTAATCAACGTAAAAAGATGTACAATCTTTCTCATGGTTAAATAAATGCAAAATAAAAAATGAGACAATACTGATTTGCTATTAGCTTAGCAAAGATTAAAAAACTGATGAAGTCATTGTGGCAAGGATATAAGACTTGGCATTCAGAGTATAACCTGTTACAATCCTTTTTAAAGGACAATTTGGAAATGTCTAATAAAAATTAAAATGTTCATTGATATCAATGTTTAGCAACTGTAAACAAAAGTTCAGAGTTTTATGGATTATAATGTTCACTGCAGCACTGTTTGCAATAGTGAGAGACAGAAAATAGCTCAAATAAGTTAGGATGCATCCATCCTATGGCATGCCACACGAGCAATAAAGAGAATGAAGTAGCTCCAGCAGTACCACATGGAAAGACTGAAAGATATGGTGTGAAGTGAAGAAAACCAGTCACAAAACAGTTTGTCTAGTGGAATTCTACTTTTGTAAAGAACAAAAGGGCACATCCAAATACCCTTTAATATATAAGCACAGATAAAAAGAAATCTGGAGCAATGCGTACCAACCTGCTCATAGGGACTCTTGGAATGAGGAGATCATAAGGTACCTTAACTTTCTGTGTTACATTTATCTGTAACATTTAAATTTTTTTTTTTTTTTTTTTTTGGAGGAAGATTAGCCCTCAGCTAACTACTGCCAGTCCTCCTCTTTTTGCTGAGGAAGCCTGGCTCTGAGCTAACATCCGTGCCCATCTTCCTCTACTTTCTATGTGGGACGCCTACCACAGCATGGCTGCCAAGCAGTGCCATGTCCGCACCCGGGATCCGAACCAGCAAACCCCGGGCCGCCGAGAAGCGGAACGTGCGAACTTAACCGCTGCGCCACCAGGCCGGCCCCTACATTTAAATATTTTAAAGTGAGTATGTATGTCTTTGGTAACCGGAAAAAAAACCCTCATAAAACACAAGATGTACATGTGTGCACGTCACTTTAAAAGTCCAAGTTAGCTGCTTCTCTTGGGAGAAAGCAAGAGTGGTCTCAAGCACAAAGTCAGTTTTCTGAGGCTTTGGTTGGTTAAGTGGGATCCTACCGTGGCCAGACGTTTCAGCAGCTGGATGGCAAGGCGCGGCAAAGCAGGATCATGTTTGTGGTAGATGTATTTGGCAAGAATAGCAATGAGGTTGTTCCCATGGGCACCTGAAACAGCACAGGAAACAGCTGAGACACCAAGAGTGCCTGCCTCTGGCTCTTAGGGAGGCTGCTTGTTCAAAAAGGCTCGTATATGCGAGGGAATTTACCCTCAACTACCTGGAGGGCCAGAGCGAACCCAGGTGGCCATATCTATCTCTCGTTTTCAGTAGCCAAGGGGATAGGTGGCATTTGGGGGTAAACAACTCAATGCAATTCATTAAAAGCAGAAAAAGAGGGCTGGCCCCGCGGCCAAGTGGTTAAGTTCACGTGCTGCATTCCACTTCAGCGGCCCAAGTTTCGCCAGTTCAGATCCTGGGCATGGACCTAGCACTGCTCATCAAGCCATGCTGAGGCGGCACCCCACATGCCACACTAGAAGGACCTACAACTAGAATATACAACTATGTACTGGGGGGCTTTGGGGAGGAGGAGAAGAAGAAAAAAAAAGAAGATTGGCAACAGATGTTAGCTCAGGTGCCAATCTTAAAAAAAAAGCAGAAAAAGATACACTTCAAAGAAAATAGATAATCTTTTAATAAATAAGTTAGAAAAAGATATCACACTGAAGCATGGCAAAAATCATAAAAATCCCAAAATGATACAGCTAGGATAGGTCTTAGACATAATCCAAACACCTACTTGAAAATGAGGAAACTGGGTCCCAAAGAGATTAAATGAGTTGTTTAATAATGTCTCCAAGGTCACACAGCTGGTTGGAGTCAAAATTTGAACCAAGACAGTCTGACTTTGAACATGTGGTTCTTAACTACTATTCTGTCATCAATAGGAGGCAGAAATGAAGTATGATCCACTCCTCTTATTTCTAAGTCCAGGATGAGAGCTGGTGATCATTCCCGAATTTCCTCAAGGAGTTAATCAGAAAATACTGTTGACCTCCAAAAGCACAGCCTGAAGTATGTACTTATGGGCAGAAATGTTACTGATTGGAAGAAAAATACATACCATGTTGTGTGAGAGCCTGTTCCAGAGGGGATACCACATTAGAAGGAGGTTTCAGCCGAATAACATTGTTGGTAACGGAGAATGCCAGTTTCACTGTCTTGATCAGCAGCTGGCCCTGCCCCTGGCCCTCTGCCCCATCACTAGGGTGCCAAATGGAAACCAAAGTTGATTCAGACAACATGACTTCATTCGCAATATATGTGCTCTCATGAATTAGATTCCAACAATAATCCCAGAGTTCAACAGCTTCTGTTAGAGGCCCCAGTCCAAACTAGGAGAGAGGAGGAGCAATCAACTCCCTTTGCTCTGTGCCAGTCTATACAGTAGCGACTAGGTTATATAAAGGCTATGTCCTAGGAAGAACAAGGTTGTCCTAAAAAAAAGCTACTACATGCTATCTTAAACCAGAGTTTTCACAATGTGCAGGCACAATAGACAGAAATGGGGGAAGGTGGAGAGGGAGCCCTACCTGCGTGGCTGAGCAGCCATCACCATGTCAATGGTGTCCACGCCGATGCCCATGATATTAATAACTGTCTGTCCTGCTTCTGTATAGGCCAGGCTGCAGATGCAGAGAGACTGCAGGCTGGGGGTGTGACTGGAAGACAGACACATTCCGAGTTATTAGAGAGCCACCAAGTTTTTTACTGGAAGGAAAGGGCATTATCCAAACCTAACCAACTGGGCATCAGTGATACAGATCAGCTCTCTTTGCCAGATGAAGGCACTCTGATCACTTTCTTTATTAAATAGACTTGACCTTAAAGACTATCCTGAGAAATGATCTAAATATCCATCAATTAGTGGATACGTTTAGGGAAATGCATCATGATTAATCCATACAATGGAATGCATGGAACCATTATAACAAGACATATCTATATGCAGTGGCATGGAAATAAAGATACAGACCAGTTAGCATAAGCAGAGGATGAAATCTAGAGGAATATACACTAACTTGTTAAAAGTCATCTTTAGGAAATAGGTTTATGAAGGGCATCTTGCACTGACTTCCAATGAACATGCATAACTTTTCTAAAGACAACAAAAAATGATTGGAGTGTGTGTGTACAATCTCTGGGATACAATCTCATACCCAGTTCATGTGTTTTCTCTCCACAGGGAGAAAGGATCAAGAGTCTAGTGGAAAGCAAATCAGAGCCTCAGAGTACTGAGGTCTGGGCTCACCCCAAGGTGAGTTTTCTGGAAGAATGAAATGGCTTTGCCCAGAGAAGCCCATGTCTTCCCCTGGCGAGCGGCAGCATTAAGAGTACAAGCTGTAATCATCACGCCCCTCATACCTGCTGTGCAGGTCTGTCTCATGGCACAGGTTCAGTATTGCATGAATCAGCTCCAGGATCAGGCAACCTGCACTCCAGAAAAGACACAGGAATGATGTGGCATTGTGTGATGACCCTTATCCCAAGAAAGGGAGAGAAAGATCTCCAGGGACCCAGAAATTCCTCAGATCTCCCTGGCCCACACTTTCCTTACCAATCTGTTCTCTCACACCATGTGAGTTGTAGCGCCACTTGTGGTAGCTAGGAAGCATCTCCTTCAGCACAAACATGACACAGGGCACCAGCCCTTGGCTCTGGGTACTGCCAAGCTGCCCCTACAAGAAACCATGCTGTGAGGGCTTATGCCATTTAAGGAAGAGTCATTTACTTCCTAGAGATTTAACTCCAAAACCATAGGTCCAAAGGGAATCTGGGCAGACCTTGACCATCAGTGGAAAAAAAAGAAACATCAAAACACTCTACTCTAGTTCAACTGAGTCCAAGAGGTGGGTTTCTCTAGAATAGAGAAAAGGACTAAAAAGACAATGTGACAGCGTCACAAAAGGCACCTACGAGAGAGAGGGATGAAGGCTAAATCTGGGCAGAAGGGAGGCACCTTAAACATGCAGGATACAGGACTGTCAATAATGGAGAATGCCAGGTTCACTGTCCTGATGACCAGCCATCGTCCTAACCTCCACCCCATCACTAGAATACCAGAAAGATCTGATACTCAAAATTCTTTGTCCTAATATTACTTGTTAACATCAATTTCCTTAACTTAAAAACGAGATTCTTTATTTATATAAAAACATCTATATTTCTATCCTTATCCCTATATAGGACTGTTTCTATCTTTTCAAGCATTTATTGATTGATTCCTGCAGGCAGGAAGTGTGCTGAGTGCTTTTCAGGCATGACCCTCTCAACGACTGCATGAGGTAGAGATCCTTTATCATTCCTATTTTACAGAGGTTCTGAGAAATTCTATACTTACCCAGGGTCATGCAGGTAGTAAGTGGTCAACCTGAAATGTACACCTAATTCTGTCTGACTCCAAAATCCATGCTACACCAGAATTTTTCAAACTGAGTTCTGATCCTTTAATGGATTGTGAGATTAGGTTATTAGAAAATATCACAGTGCATCTTGCTTAGTAAGAGTAGTGTTGTAGTATAAAACTTTGCTTCAAGAGGATACATACACACATGCATGTGTATAGTGGGATGTGATACAATATGTATGTATTACCCTGGGCTATGGTAAAACTTGCTTAACAGTCACAACATTACAGCATACTGCCTCTGAGTATTAAATAACACAAAGCACCTACCATAGAATCCGGAACATAGTAAACACTCAGTACATAGAAACTGTTATCACCGTAACCTCAGAACAACTATTCTGCCTACACACAGGATGATTACAGTAGCAGGGGGCAGGGAAACTATTTCAGATGATTCTATCCGACCAGATTTTACCTTGACAAGAGTGGCGATCAAGCGCAGAAAGGCAATAGTGACCCCATACTCGCCCTGGGGCTGTTCACTATTCATCAAGAGGTTTCCGTACCCTCCAGCATTCATTCCCTCTGCACTGAAAAGACAGAGGCAGAGGGGAAAATATGATGTGGCAATTTCAAGGTTTCAGGAAACTGTAATCACAGAGCATTCTTGTTATTGTCTAGATGGCTTGAGCATAAAAGAGGAAAGCTCAGCAAAGGAATTAATCAAATTTAGGGAATTTTATACCCAGGGTAAACATTAAGAATATGTTTTATTGATATACAAAATCAAGAGGTTTAAAGTGAAAAATCAAATAAACATCAGGAAAACATCCTTGTCTTATAAGCAAGAGAGAGCAAGGAGCTAATGCTCAGGTAGTAAGATAGAGCCCGTGTATTAATAACTGGTCTACCAGGCGAGCTCAAGTAGCCATGAAACAAGGAAAAGTACAGAGTGACTGTGGCTTAAGAAAAGGAAGCCAAGTCTCTGGATCCACATACCTCTGGATTCTCTAGGCTGGAAAATTAACTCCCACATACCTAAGTCGGCTGCTGCTAGATGACAAATACCTCTCTTTCTCTCTCTCAGGCTTTAAAGACTGTGAACCATCAGTGCTGGCCTAAGAGGAGAGCAGCCTCTTGCCTCAAGTCCCATCATCTCCTTTGCCTTGTCCTCACTCATTCTTCCTATTTCGGGTCACAGGGCTGAACAGGCAAGGAGCAGACAGAGTAAATGGGCACAGAGAGGCTTCCTTAAAACTAATGAAGCTAGCCTAGACCTGAAATGGATATGGTACTCCCAGGGAATACACTCTCCCCACCCTAAGACCTGACTCACCTAATCATCTGACTCATGTTGGAGACCTGGTGGGCCACGAATGGTAAAAAGCCTGTGTGACGAAGATCAGTCCAGACCTGAGAAGGGAAAAGAAGCGTCAAATGTCCATGTGTCTTCAGGTACACCAAGTGCAACATTGTTTGGCTGTTAGGAAGACTTAGTGTCTCACCTTTGCAGGGTTCCGGGCAGCCAAAATGGTCAAGCAATTGACACAAGAAGCAATGACATCCACAGGCGGGGAGATCACTGTGGTTAACCTGGTTGGGGAACAGCGCACTATACTCAGTAAAATGAATAATACTGTTTGTTCCATCACAAATATTTCCCAGTGCTCTCTTCCCAAGGCCCTCCTCTCAGCAGGGATGTAAAAACAGGAAAGCCCTCTCAGCTGGGGACAGACACCAAACCAGGGCTTCCCATAGAGGAACGTGTGTGGACTTTAACCCAGGGAGGGTGTGACCAGACACTCACCGCTGCAGCAGCATGTAGATGCGAGACGTGATGGGCAGGAGACAGTCTGCTATGGACAGATCTGTACTGATGACCTTATGGACCAGATCAATGATGGGTCTGACCCGCTGACAGTGCTGAATCACGTCTGAGGAGAAAGAGAGCCATTTTGTATATGACCTCATGGAAAACACTGAACACTCTCTGAGACTCAGATAAACAAGTTAACACTAATTGCAATCTGGATGGTTCTGAATTTTATCTTGAAATTCTCTGTCTATCCTCCATATCCTCTAAGCATGTCTGTTTTTCTTCCCCTTAGTGATGTCTCCCAAAGGTGACCTCACCTGCAGTGGAAACAACATGAAGCAGCATTTCAATCTCACAGGTAAAGAGGGTCCAGCTGCTGTAGGAGTATTCCCAGCGCACCAGGTAAGCCCTGTCATCCAGCATTACTTGGCCCACAGTGCCTTGAGGTATGCGAAGGTTGGTCTGACCCCCTAAGGAAAGTAGGAAGAGAAATCAGTCTAATATCTGAGGACATAAGAAGAAGACGTAACTCCTATACAAGACGCCAATATTTAATCACACAGAGATATACAGAGTTTCTTCTTGGCGTCTAACATTGCTACAGCTTTTCCCACTAAAAAGAAAAAAAAACACTTCTCTTGTCATTTGGGGAAGTGAGTCACTCCATGTGTCTGAAAAACAGCTAAATGCAAAGTGGCTTTTCATGCAAAGGATGATAACAGAAAAGACCATCTCATGGGATGGTGAGTGCCCAGCTCACTGGGTAAGTAGGTGGGGTGCAGGATTCGAAGACTAAGGCTATTCCTTCTCTGGTTTGTTCCTTGAGCACCTGGAATATCCATGGACTTACAGGTACTAATGGGCTGCTCTTACAGATTGCCAGTAGGAAAATAAATTGCTACAACTTTTTTCTACAACTTAATTGGACACTATCTATTCCAAACTTTTTAATTCTTTATCTTTTTAAAATTGTGGTAAAATACACATGACATAAAATTTACCACTTTAACCATTTTTAAGTGCACAGTCTAGTGGCATTAAGTACATCGTGTGCAACCATCACCACGGTCCATCCAAAGAACTTTCTTCATCTTGCAAAACTGAAACTCTGGGGGCTGGCCTGGTGTCATAGCGCTTAGGTTTGCATGTTCCACTTCGGCGGCCCAGGGTTTGCCAGTTCGGATCCTGGCTGTGGACCTACGCCCCACTTGCCAAGCCATGCTGTGGCAGGCGTCCCACATATAAAGTAGAGGAAGATGGGCACAGATGTTAGCTCAGGGCCAGTCTTCCTCAGCAAAAAGAGGAGGATCGCCAGCAGATGTTAGCTCAGGGCTAATCTTCCCCACTAACCAAAAACAAAAAACAAAACTGAAACTCTGTCCCCATTAACCAATGATTCTCCATTCCCCCAACCCTCAGCACATCAACCACCATTCTTCTTTCTGTCTCTACAAATCTGACTACTCTAAGTACCTCATATGAATGGAATCATACAGTGTTTGTCCTTTTATGATGATCTTATTTCACTTAGCATAATGTCTTCAAGGTTCACCCATGTTATAGCATGTGTCAGAATTCTCTTTCTTTTTAAGGCTGAATAATATCCCATTGTACATATATACCGCATCTTGTTTATCTATTTTACCTGTTGGCGAACATGTATTTAAAATTTCTACTGTGTGTATCCTTTTCCCAACAATCTCACTTTGAGGATTCTATGTACTAAAACTAAAAGCACCAGTATATACGGCTATATCTACCCAATGTAGCATTGTTTGCAGTGGCAAAAACCTGACACAACCAAAATGTCTTTTAGAAGGGGAAAGATAAAAATTATGGAACATCAAAAATAATTATGTAGTTACTAAAAAGAATGAGTCAGATCCATATGTAATAAGATCAACTTGCAGAATGCATTTATGAGAGTATACAAAAATGTGTAAAAGGACACCAAACTCTTAACATTAATTATCTGATGGAGACAGGTCTGAAGAGAGTTTAACTTTCTAAAATATATCTCTGTGTTGTTCTCCCTGTTACAATGAATATGCATTATTTTTTAAATAAAGCAATCTAATGATGTAAAAAAGTGAGAAACTAATAATTTATCAACAAGCACAGTGGAGACGTGAAGGAACTGCTTTAAAGGCACCTTGCATGAAATAATCAAAACGGCAATGAGGTCTAGAGGCCATGGAAAAGAGGCTACTGAACCAGGATCTCTTTATCTTACCAAGAGGATAAAGGAGTTTAGGTGTTTGCCTCCGCCACAGAGTTCCATCTTCATGGGAGACCACATCATGGGGCTTGTGCTTATAAAGTTCATTGTAGAAAGACATCTTATCCAAGAAACTATACACCTGCCAACATGAGGGAAAAAACCCAGCCACACATTTACCTAGGGAACATGGAAGGGGTCCCACATCTGCTTTTCTGCTCTTTCAGCCAGACTGTGTATGTGCTGACCCTCAAAATTCTTATAAACCCACCACTGTGACTCTTCTTGGAATTGCCTCTGCACTCCTGCGAAATCTTCACCATTCTTTAACACCCAACTCAAGGCCCCCCTCACCCCAGAGTTGCCTCTCCTGAAGTGTATGGTCTTTACTACTCAAATGACAGTTACTATATACCACCTGGCTTTATTAGTTATTTATTTCTCATATCTATTATTCTCTTCCAATTAGATACTAAGGAATTTAATATTTTGTCTTATTCCCACAGTATCTACAATAGGTACTTAATAAAAAGACTTTAATTTTATGAAATTGAGGCACTATCTTTGGCATTTCATTCAACTTCAGACTAACTCTTGCCATGGCAGTGGAATTTCAATGTGGAAAGCAAAAAGGATTCCTAAAAATATCTGCCACTCTCTGTAGGCATCTAACTGAACAACTTACCTTTTTGGCAGTAGACTTCCCTGATACAAGGGCTCGTAGCAACTGCAGGAGCGGGGAGAGGAGATGAGGAAACATTCCACACACACTGTCCAGAATGATCCCAAGACCAGAGGTTGGCTCCTATGGTAGAAGGGGAGAAGTCACTGACCTTCACATTATCCACGAATTAACACATCTCTGATTGTGCAGCAATCCTAAGAAAATCTAAAATGAATCCTTTCCTTTAGGCAGACATTATTCCTCCCTAATAATTTAAGACTTCCATACTTCCACCGAAAAAGACTATCAACAACTGATTTACTCAGGACCTGAAAAGACACTACTGTTGCCACCAGTGACCTCTTCCTGGCCATCCCCTCTACAGGAAAACAACAATGTTCACCTCTGCATGACATGTTTCCACTAGTGAAAAGCACCCAACAAAATGTGAGCATTTAGCCACCACACATAAGCAACAGATCCTCAGTCTAAACATTGTTTCATACTACCTTCTCCCAGGAACACTGTGATTCTCTATGACTGGATAGCATCTCAGGAAAAAAGAGAACAACATATATGGGCAGAGCAGTCAGGCCACAGTGCAAGGGAAAACAGATTTATTCATCGGCTGGACGTTGAGGCTTAAGGCTGTTGTCAACTCTGAGACTAAGTACTGGTGAGAAACTGTTCTCTCCAAAGCCAAATTATTACTCTAACCAGTTACAATACTGTGACAGAAGACACAGTTACAATCCCCCAGTAGTAAGCGCAAGAGTTACAAGAGTTACAGCAACACCTGTGCCTGGGACTCCCAACAGGAAAAAACACTTGGTAGGTAGAACAGATAACATGCTGGTTAATAATGTGGGCTACAGACTCAAGTCAGACAGAAATGGACCCTGATCCTGGCTATCGGTCTAGCTGTATGACCTTGGGTAAGTCACTTCACATGTCTCAGCATCACCTTTCCTCATATGCAACGTGATGATGATAATACTACTATCTATTTCACAGATTTTTGTAAAGATTAAATGAGAAAATAGACATAAATGCTTAGTATAAGACCTTTCACAAAGTAAGTGCTTGATAAATTCTTTTGCTACAGAGAATCTCATAGCATGACTCCCTATGAAATACGTACTGTTCCCCAGAACAGTTCTGGAAGAGAAGGGTCTGCCAGGACTTCACATGCTGTGTCGATTACATCCTGTTGGGGGAGGAGGAAGAAAATGGCTTATTTTCCCTGGTTGAATGAGTCTATCTTTTTTTTACTGTATTCTGTTGAAATAAAAACACCAATAATACCTTCATATAGCATGTCAGAAAAAACTCTGGGTTTCCTTGTCGGTGGCCATGCTGTGGCGGCAACCCACATACAAAAAAGTAGAGGAAGAGTGGCACAGATGTTAGCTCAGGGCAAATCTTCCTCAAGCAAAAAGAGGAAGACTGGCAGAAGATGTTAGCTCAGTGCAAATTTTCCTCAGCAAAAAAAAAAGAAAAATTTAAAAACCCTCTGGGTTTAAAAAGTAAGATTACACCCTGTCAAGGGTGTATGCTATATCTATTGTACAATGTTACACAAATTAACTTCTCTGAACTTCAAACTCTTTATCTGTAAAATGGTGACATTACCCACTTTGTAAAGATTAAATGAGATAACGTATGGGGAAGTGGCCATGTAAATGCCATGTAAACATGAAGTATTTCTAGGCTCAGCTAAACTATTCTCCTGGGGGCAAGAATAAGGCCTTTTTACTTTTTTATCCTCAGCACCTAACACAGAGCTTGGCACACAATGGGAATCTAATAATGGCTTATGGAATGATTTTTTTTAAAAAACCCAAGTACTAGGACTCTTGCAACCCCAATATGTTAATACCAATCCCCCAGGTGTATAGTAGGGTCCAAATGTGACCAGAATTTTGGCAAAGGATGCAACGCTTGTTCTATGCCTCTAGAGCTTTGGAAATCGAGTCTTTCAATTAACACCAATTTCTTTTCTCTCCAATGAAAAGAAATTTTCATTTTTATCAACTTCCTCAATTTCTTCAATTTCCAAAACAAGTCACTAATCATTAAAAATGAATACAATGACTTAGTTATAAAGAATTCCTCAAATATCATTTCCCACTAAATGGAACCAGGGTTCCTTGGAGAAATGGCAGATTCCAGGTCTGGGGCAAGAATCTTACAAGGTAATCCTGCAATAGTTTGGCATCCCAGAAAGCAACAGAGCTATCAAAATACATAAGGGTAGTGTGAAACAGATTCAGAAGCTAATCTGAAAACGCTCTTACTGGCCAAAGATGGGGCAATCTGAGCATAAAAATAATAACTAAAATGGATTAAAACACAGCTAGTATGTTTAAATCCATGAGTTCACAATGATCTGTAAAAATAAAAAATCTTGTTAGTCACCTTTGGAGGATGCTAGGGAAAACTGGTAAACATAGAAAAGAAGCATGTAGTACTCTACACCAGAGTATCAGATAGTTAATGAGAGCAAATTTCCTTTTTTTTTTTCAATTGAGGTATATCTGATATATACTATTTTTAGGTGTACAACATAATGATTTGATATTTGTATATATCGTGAAACATAATTTTTTATAGCAATGTTCCAACCAATAAACAAAAGAGGAAAGATAGAATTAGAATAGTGCCATTTTGTAACCCCTAAGGAACTAATGGATCCAAACAATGATGTGGCTCATGGCTACCATAGTGCACAGCATAGTTATAAACTAAAAGAAACCCAACAGACTTAACCAACAAATAATGTGTGGACCTTATTTAGATCCTGATCCAAACAAACAAAATTATAACAAACTTATGACATTTATAGATAATTAGAAATTTGAACCTTGACTTGATATTTGCAGATAACGTATTTTTAGATGTGATAATGGTTGTGAAGTTTTAGTAAAATATTCACAGATGAAACTAAACAATGTCTGGGATTTGCTTCAAAATAATCAAGGAGGGCAGGGGCAGAAATGAGAAAGATCAGCTGTGAGTTGATAATTTGGAAGCTAGTGATGGGATCATAAAGGCTCATTATAAAATTTTGTCTACTTTGGTATCAGCTTGAAATGTTTCATTTTTAAAAAATACTGCGGGCCAGCCTGGTGGTGCAGCGGTTAAGTTCACATGTTCCACCTCTGCGGCCCAGGGTTCACTGGTTCGGATCCCGGGTGCAGACATGGCACTGCTTGGCAAGCCATGCTGGGGCAGGCATTCCACATATAAAGGAGAGGAAGATGGGCATGGATATTAGCTCAGGGCCAGTCTTCCTCAGCAAAACAGAGGAGGATTGGCAGCAGATGTTAGCTCAGGGCTAATCTTCCTCAAAAAAAAAAAATATTGCAGGGGCCAGCATGGTGGCATAGCGGTTAACTTCGCGCACTCTGCTTTGGCAGCCGGGGGTTCGCCCTTCAGATCCCGGGTACGGACCTACGCACCACTTATCAAGCCATGCTGTGGCAGGCATCCCACATATAAAATAGAGGAAGATGGGCACAGGTGTTAGCTCAGGGCCAATCTTCCTCAGCAAAAAAAGGATTGGTGGCAGATGTTAGCTCAGAGCTAATCTTCCTCAAAAAAAAAAAAAACCTATTGCAGAAGATACTAGCACCCACGGACATTTGGATAGATGCACTACAGAGTAAAAAAAATGAGGTTAGGGGCTGGCCCCATACCCGAGTGGTTAAGTTCGCACACTCTGCTGCAGGCGGCCCAGTGTTTCGTTGGTTCGAATTCTGGGCGCAGACATGGCACTGCTCATAAAACCACGCTGAGGCAGCGTCCCACATGCCACGCTAGAAGGACCCACAATGAAGAATATACAACTATGTACCGGGGGGCTTTGGGGAGAAAAAGGAAAAAAATAAAATCTTTAAAAATAAATAAATAAAAAAGGTGGAGTTAAGCTAAAAAAAAAAATGAGGTTACAAAACAGTATATACAGGTGATTTCATTTCTAGAGAAGAATTATCATATTATTATGTATATATATATGCCGAAAATGTTCGGAAGGAAACACATCAAAATGTTAACAGAGGTTACCCTGTGTGGTGGGATTACACTTTTTTTCTTGTTATTGGCACTTTCTGATTTTTCTATTATTAATACGTATCATGTATATAATACAATAAATGAAAACAAACAGCAATAAACAAAGTACATCTCGGGTATATGGGTGTGTGTTACATCAGCTTTAAAAGGGTATCTTATGGCTATGACTACAAAGCTGGGGAGTATAGACAGCTTCATGAAAGCCAGATACTGACCTGCTGATTGCCCAGCGTGTGCAGCTCCAGCGAGGTCAGAACGAAAGAAAGGAGTCCATAGACACACATGCACGCAGTGCTGGTGGTACACTGTAACAGCAAAGGAATCACTAATAATTCTGAATAACAAATTCTTCCCCAGATTCAGCACATGCCTATCACATTAATATAGTCTCTGTTTACAAACAGGAAGAGAATCCGAGGATTCATAATTTTCCTAATTTAGTCCCAGCATCAGGAAGACAAAGGGAGAAAGAGAAATCAGGAACCACAAATATTACAACACAGTCAAGAATAAAATCAAAAGGGAACTCTTTTCAAAATGATCAGTTTTTGTGGGGAAGAAAACCACATCCAGCCTAGAGAAAAGATAAAGAGTCTCTGTGCTGATAAGAATGACACAGCTGCCTGAACTGTAACCAAGATAAATCACCCAGTGCCAAAAAGTGGGGCCTGTCGGCTGAGGTTTCATTTCAGCATGTCAAAACAAGCTGACTAAACTGTGCCACTCAAATTAAGCCCCAACACAAGACTCAAGAGAATTTCTAATTCATCCTGTTCTAGTTGAATGAGTAAGCCCCCCAAAAAGATTTCTCCAGTCAACATCTCCAAAACTATCTTTCAGGAGATAAACTATACTGACACAGTACACTACACTGGCAAAGAGGGTTCAAACCGTATCCACCACTAATTGCGATTATTACTCCTATGGGGAAATTACGTCTCCCTCAATTTCCTAATGTGTAAAACAGGATGATAATCCCTAGTGTAAAGAAGTGTTGTAGGGATGAAATAAGATAATGTACAGAAGCACTGAGCACAGTGTCTGGTCATAGTAAATGCTCTATAGCGGTTAGTTACAACATTATCATCATTATTCACGTCACTATTACAATTACTATTCCCATGATTCATTAATGAGCTTTGCACTGCTCTTTGCCATTCTCATGCTCAAACACCAACAGCTTGAGCCTTACATCATTTCCTCCACTGGCTAGTGAGCGGAGTAGTCGGGTCAAGTACTGAAATACATTCAGCTGGATGGCCGTGCCACCTATCTTCCGGACAACACTGCTTGTCTCATCTGGACTCAGGGTGTGACGGAGGAGAGCCCAAGCCAAAAGCACTGGGGCATGATGTGGAATGTCCCCAAAGGTCAACATCAAACGGTCCATATCCTAATGAAAAGAGAAAACAACGTCTGTGTCACTGAACAGAAAGGGTCAAGACCCTTCCATAGGCTCCTTCATCGTGCTTGATAAATCTTCCATTCATCCATGGTAGCCCACTCTCCCATTCTGATATTTTACTCTTCCCAAATCCCTAGCCATCTCACTAATAAATCCCTCAATTACTCTTCCCTTACCCACAATTGTTTTCTTCTGATTTTAAGTATTCCTAATCTAAGATTTTAAAGATTTTTTTCCCCTTTTTCTCCCCAAACCCCCCGGTACATAGTTGTATATTCTTAGTTGTGGGTCCTTCTAGTTGTGGCATGTGGGACACTGCCTCAGCATGGCCTGATGAGCGGTGCCATGTCCAATGCCCAGGATTCAAACCAGCAAAACCCTGGGCCGCTGCAGCAGAGCGCACAAACTTAACCACTCAGCCATGGGGCTGGCCCCTAAGATTTTAAAATACATGTTCAATGGAGACTTTTTAGAAAATTTCCCCTGATCCTTCTTGTACTTTCTGTGATCTCTCCTCATTTTCTATCTTTCTAACCATCCCATCTCAATGTTCTTCTCCTTTCTTCTTCTTGTACAGGATCCATAAATGCACACAACCCCCAAGGTTCTGTCCTTGGGCCTATTTGTCCTTATAGCATCTCCCCAAGTGACTCCACTCATTCTCACAGATTCAACTATCACTCCTGGGCAGCTAACTGACAAATCCGAGATTTCTTCCCGGTCCAGTTAACTTCTTAACAATGTAGAACCTCAAGTTCCACAACAAGGAACGTTTTATGCAGCAGTATAGTTGAGTGATTAAAAAACATACTAAAACTGTAAGCTGTCTGCAAAAAGAAAAGAGGCTGTTCCAAGTTCACCTGACAAATAAGCCCGTCCTGGGCCAACTGGTGCAGCTCTCTCCTGTCATCCAGAGCACACTTATGCAAGGATTCAATATCCATGCCCTCCACCAGGATAAGGGCACTGAAGTAGCTGGAAAGAAATATAGCATCACGTTGTCATAAATGCTACTCTGACCCTCATTGGAGAATAAGGTGAAATGTAGGACACTACAATACAAAAAAAACCATTAATGAGTTGTTTTACATTCTTTTTTCACACTAACTTTTCTAAATCCAGTATGTATTTTACACTTCCAGCACATCTCAACTTGACCAGTCACATTTGATGTGCTCAGCAGTCATACGTCACTTGTGCCTACCAGGGGGCAGATCTGGAGGTTTCTAAAGCCACCAATGACATCTGACCCGGATAAACTGCCTCACTGCTCAAGTGTGTATCTTTGTTCACAGAGAGAACAGGCCTTAAAATGTGGATATACCCATTGCCATAAAACTCGAAGTCCATAGACTATGACACCTCAAAGAGGGCAGGGAACACATCTGCCTTGTTTATCACTGTCGTCTTCGCATTTGCGTGGTGCCTGGCCTACAACAGTTGCACAACAAATTTTTTGTTGAATGAATGGATGAATCTCTTAGATGAAGACAGCAAGTAAAAGAATAGAACGCAATATTTCTTTTGAGAGACTATGTCCCTCTCAATCCCAGTCTTTACTCCCCCTATGACTTGGAACATGGTGGTACACCCATCTATTTACCCACTCATTAAGGGAAAAGTACACCTACCCCCACTTGCCTCCCAGTCACAGTAGTCACAGGACTACTATAATATCAATGCTCTAAACATTGTACAAGTTCTATGGCCTCAATTCATTCAGACTTACCCAATCCGGTCCACAAAAGGATCCATGGTCTCATCCACCAGGTGCCTGTTGGTCTGCCTACTACCAAATCCTTGCTCTTTAAACATCTTGGTTAATACCAGTAAGTCACTAGGCGCCATCTCAAAGTATGCATAATAAAGGAAAATGATTTCTAGCAGCATGGACTGTTCCCGAAGACACTGAACAAACCAGCGAGACACTTGGCGCTCAGTCTGCACAACCAATGGAAAAAAATAAAGAAAATAAGGCAGATTTAAAACCATATTTAACATTTTTAAGTTACTTTTATTAGGTAATACACATATAAGAATAAAGCAAAAAAAATGTCTCCCTCCCTACAATTCCTATTGCCCATGCCTCCAAACCTTTCTCCAGAGGCAACCAAGGTTAGAGGTTTCTGTCTCTCCTTCCAGGAATACCATGCATATTCATTCCTTCATTCATTCATTCAATAGTCTGCCTGTCTATTCATCCCTAAACCAAATAACATATTACACAAACTATTCTGCATCTTACTTAACAATATATCATAAAGATTATTTCTCTAACAGTATATTAAGAACTTCCTTATTTTTCATTCTTTTTCAGAGCTGCATAGTAATCTATCAACCAGTCCTCTCATTGTTTTTTACGTTGCATAGTATTCCACTGCATGGAAATGCCATAATTTATTTTAACCAACACACATGGATGGGCATATAGGTTATTACCAATCTTTTGCTATTAAAATCAATCTTACACAACTGACAGAATAACTAGACAAAAACATCAGCAAAGACGTAGAAGATCTAAACAATCTTGACCTGACTGATATTTATACAGCACCAAACCCAACTCCTGCCAAATACACATTCTTTCCATGTGTACATAGTAGACTCACCAAGACAGATCATATCATGGGCCATAAATCATGGGACAACAAATTTTAAAAGACTAAAACGATACAGAATGTGTTCTTTGATCATAATGAAGTCAAATTAAAAATCAATAATGGGGGCTGGCCCCGTGGCCAAGTGGTTAAGTTTGTGCGCTCCGCTGCAGGTGGCCCAGTGTTTCATTGGTTCGAATCCTGGGTGTGGACATGGCACTGCTCATCAAACCACGCTGACGCAGCGTCCCACATGCCACAACTAGAAGGACCCACAACGAAGAATATACAACTATGTACCAGGGGGCTTTGGGGACAAAAAGGAAAAAATAAAATCTTAAAGAAAAGAAAAATCAATAATGGGGCCAGCCCTGTGGCCGAGTGGTTAAGTTTGTGCACTCTGCTTCGGCAGCCCAGGGTTTTACTGGTTTGGATCCTGGGTGCAGGCATGGCACCACTCATCAGGCCATGCTGAGGCGGGGTCCCACATGCCACAACTAGAAGGACCTACAACTAAAATATACAACTATGTACTCGGGGGATTTGGGGAGAAAACGTAGGAAAAAATATCAATACTAATAAGATATCTAAGAAAATATCCAATGTTTGGAAATTAAGCACACTTCTAAATAATACAAGGGTCAAAGAAAATTACAAGGGAAATTAGAAACTATTTTGAACTGAATGCTAATGAAAATATGACATATCAAAATTTGTGGGATACAGCTAAAAGCAATGCTTAAAGCAACATTTATGGTTATTTATTAGAAAAGAACTAAAATCTGTTATCTAAGTTTCTACTTTAAAAAAAATAGAAAAAGAGGAAATTAAATCCAAAGTAAGTAAATAGAAATAAATACTGAAGAGCAGAAATCAGTGAAATATAAAATGACAAACAAGAGAGAAAACGAAAGACAAAAACTACCCTTATCAGAAATGAATCAGGAGACATCACTACAGATCCTACAGAGAGTAAAACGATAATAAGATTAACAGCTTTATGCAAATAAATTTGACTACTTAGATGAAATGGACAAATTCCTTGAAAGACACAAATTACCAAAACTGACACAAGAAAGAAACAAGAAACTTGAGTAAGTCTGTATCAATTATAGAAAAGTGAATTCAGAATTAAAAACTTTCCCACAAAGAAAACTGTAGGCTGAGATGGCTTCACTGGTAAATTCTACCACATATTTAAGGAAGAAATAATACCAATACTACACAAATTCTTTCTGAAAACAGAGGAAGAAGGAACATTTCCCAACTTATTTTATGAGGCCAATATTACCCTAATAACAAAACCAGACAAAGACATCACAAGAAAACTACAGACCAACACCCCTTATGAACCTAGGGACAAAATTCCTTAACAAAATCTTAGCAATGGGGCCGGCCCAGTGGCTTAGGGGTTATGTTCACATGCTCCACTTTGGCCACCTGGGGTTCGTGGGTTTGGATCCCAGGTGCAAACCTAGCACTATTCATCAGGCCAGGCTGTGACAGCATCCCACATAAAATAGAGGAAAACTGGGAGTGATGTCAGCATCATGGCAGAGTGAGCTTTCCCAATAATCTCTCCCCTCCACCATACAATGAAAAAGACATTCATACTCCAACAGAGGACATCCAAATACAACACAAAACACGCCTGAGAGACCCACACAGCCATATGACAGAGGGTGGAGAGGCTGGAGCCCCCCTCAGAGGAAGTGGAACAGGATAAGAGAAAACTTCGCTTAGGGCAAATCTTACCCTGCAAAATAAAGACAAAAAACAAAATTGCAAAAACAAAAACAAAACAAGGCAAAAAAACAAGTGGCCGCGACAGACTGGGATGCAGTCACATACTCTGTTCTCAAAAAACACCACAGAATGCACTCTTAAGCTTTGACTCCGCCAAAATTCCTGATTTTACAAAACTCCTAACAGCCACCTGGACCCAACCAATAAAACTGTGACCTGGGGCCGGCCCCATGGCAGAGTGGTTAAGTTCATGTGTTCTGCTTTGGCGGCCCAGGGTTTCACTGGTTCAGGTCCCAGGTGCACACATGGCACAGCTCATCAAGCCATGCTGAGGCAGCGTCCCACAAAGCACAACCAGAAGGACCTATAACCAGAATATACAACTATGTACTGGGGGGTTTTGGGGAGTAGAAGAAGAAGAAAGAAAGACTGGCAACAGATGTTAGCTCAGGTGCCAATCTTAAAAAATAAAACTGTGACCTGCACCAACCAATCAGGACTAAGCAGGGTTGCAGCTCTCACTTGCATAAGCAGACCTGAGTGGGAACCTGGGTAGAAACTTTTTCTTTAAAAGAGCCACTTTCTTTGTTCTCTGGGAGCATACTTTTGCTTTGCTGTGAAGGCCACATTTCCCCAGTTTGCAAACTGTATGAGCAATAACGTTTTCCTAACTAACAACAACAAAGAAAAGGAAGACTGGCACAGATGTTAGCTCAGTGACAATCTTCCTCAAGCTAAAAGAGAAAAATTGGCAACAGATGTTAGCTCAGGGCCAAGCTTCCTCATACACACACAAAAAAACAATTTAGCAAGTCAAATCCAACAATATATAAAAACCAAAATATATCATGACAAACTAGAATTTACACCAGGAATTCAAGATTAGTTTGACATCTAAAAGCTCAATGTAATTCACTATGTAAAGTAAAAGAGAAAAACCTAAGATGATTTCAACAGACACAAAAGAAAATGAACAGAATTTAACACTCATTCTAATAAAAATGAAGAACCCTCAGAAAATTGAGAATAGAATGCAATTTCCTCACTATGATAAAGGACAGCTTAAAAAATAATTTACAACTAACAGCATACTCAATGGTAAAAGACTAAATGCTTTCTACCCAAGATCAGAAACAAGGTAGGTAAAAACGTTGGCTCTCTTACCACTTCTATTCAATATTGTACTGGAGGTCCCAATCAGACAATAAGGCAAGAAAACACAATAAAAAACATACAGATTTGAAAAGAAGTCAAAGTGTCCTTTTTACAGATGACATGATCACGTACATTAGAAAAAACTACTAGAATAAGTGAATTTAGCAACATCACAACATACAAGAGTGATGTACAAAAATAAACTGTATTTCTAAATACTAACAATGAACAACTGGAAAGAAATTTTCAGACAACATTTACAATAGCATCCAAAGAAGTAAAATAAATATTTAAGAATAATTAGCAAAAGATGGATAATACTTGAATACTGAAAACACTGAAACCCCATTTAGAGAAATTAAAGATGTACATAAATGAAGGGATATACTAGGTTCACGGATTGGAAGACTCATCAACATTATTAAGATGTCAATTCTCTCCAAATTGACCTACAAATTTGATAAAATTCTAACCAAAATCCTAGCAAGCTTCCCTTTTTTTTGGAAGAAAGAGACAAGCTTATTCTGAAGTAGATATGGAAAAGCAAAAAACCTAGAGTAGCCAAAACATTTTGAAAAAGAAAACAAGATTGAAAGACTTACGCTACCTGATTTCAAGGTTTACTATAAAGCTACAGTACTTAAGACAGTGTGATATTGGCATAAAGACAGATGTAGAGTTCAACAGACCAGAGATGGACTCACACTTACATGATCAACTGATTTTTTACAAAGATGCCAAGATAAGTCAATGGGAACAGACAGTCTTTTTAATAAATGGTACTGGAAGAAGCTCTCTAGATGTGAAGGAAATGAATCTTGTCCCTTACCTCACACCATACACAAAAAAAACTAAAAATTACTGACGTAAATATAAGAGCTAAAACTATAAAACTTCTAGAAGAAAACAAAATCTTTGTGGCATTAGGTTAGGCAAAGATTTCTTAAACAAGGGCCAAAAGGCAAGAATCATAATAGAAAAAAGCTGATAAAACAGATTTTATCAAAATTTAAAATTTTTGCTCTTAGACACATTAAGGTGAGAAAAAACAAGCCATGAAGTGGGAAAAAATAATTGTAAAACATCTGTCTGTCAAACGGCTTGTCTCCACAATAAATAGAGAACTCTTAAAATTCAATAATAAGACAAACATCCCAATAAAAACAATGGACCAGATTTGAATAAACACTTCACCAAAAAAGATATAAGCAAATAAGCATGTGAAAAGATGCTCAACATCACTAGTCATCAAGGAAACACAAATTAAAACTACAATGAGATACCACTAAACACCTATTAGAATGTCTAAAATTAAAAACGGTGACCACACTAAGTATTGGTGAGGATATGGACCAAAAAGAATTCTCATGCATTCTGGTAGGAATGGAAAATGGTACAGCCACTACAGAAAACAGTTTGTCAGTGCCTTATACACATAAAAATATATGCTTATAATATGACCCAATAATCCAACTCTCAGGTATTTATTCATCCAAGAGAAATGAAAACCTATGTCCACACCAAGATCTACCACATTACTCATAATAGCCAAAAAACAGAAACAACCAAAATGTCCACCAACTAATCAATGGATAGACAAAACGTGTATATCCAAATAATGGAATATTATTCAACCATAAATAGGAATGAAGTATAGTGCAATGAAGTACAATATGGACAAATCTCAAAAACATTAAGCTAAGTGAGAGAAGCTAAACAGAAAAACTACCTATTGTATGGTTCCATTTATATAAAATTCTAGAAAAGGCAGATATAGTGACAGTTACACTTACAAATGGTTAAAATGATAAATTTCAAGTTATGTGTATTTTACCATAATAAACAAAATCATAATTTAAAAAAAATATAGTGACAGAAAGCAGATTAGTGGTTGTTTGGGGCCAGAGGTCACAGATTGATTGCAAACTTTCTGAGGAGACAAAATGTTCTATATATTGATCATACAAGTGGCTACTGCATGTAACTATATACAATTGCCAAAATTCAAACTGTATACTTAAAATGAGTAAATTTTATTGGATGGAAATTATACCTGAATAAAGCCGGGGGGAGGAGGTACTACAGATTTGTCATTTACACAAGTCATTTCACAGAAGTGTGAATGTATTCATAGGATAAACTTAAAGTGGAACTGCTAGGTTAAGAAATACGTGCTTTTCAATTTTTAGATCCTGTGATAATGTTTTCCACTAAAAACATACCAATGTATACAGTGAAATATGAGTGAGAACCCATTATCTCATCCCTTAGACAAGAGTGTTGTCATGTGAACATGTTCATTGGTTTGCCTATTTTTCAATTTGGTTTTACTTAGTGATTTATAGGAGTTCTTTCTATTTTACACATCCTTTGTAATGTGAATCTTTTGACAATTTTATAGTGCTATTTTTGGTTTCTGCCTTGAAAAAGTTTTTGATTTGATGTTACTGTGTTTGTCTTTTTTTTTTTTATGGCTTCTGACTTTTACTTTAAAAAGTCTTCTAGCGGCTGGCCCAGTGGCGCAGCAGTTAAGTTTGCACATACCGCTTTGGCAGCCCAGGGTTCACCAGTTCAGATCCTGGATGCGGATATGGCACCCCTTGGCAAGCCATGCTGTGGTAGGCGTCCCACATATAAAAAGTAGAGGAAGATGGGCATGGATGTTAGCTCAGAGCCAGTCTTCCTCAGCAAAAAAGAGGAGGATTGGCAGCAGATGTTAGCTCAGAGCTAAGCTTCCTCAAAAGATAAAATAAAATAAAAAGTCTTCTACACTTCAAAAGATAAAAACAAAACCACCTGTGGTCTGGCCCAGTGGCGTGGTGGTTAAGTTTGCATGCTCCACTTTGGTGGCCTGGGGTTTGCAGGTTTGGATCCCAGGTGCAGACCTACACACCACTCACCAGGCCATGCTGTGGTGTTCTACACACAAAATAGAGGAAAACTGGCACAGGTGTTAGCTCAGGGACAATTGTCCTCACACATACAAAAAAAATCTGTTTTCTTCTAGTACTTTTATAGTTGAATTTCTTTTTAATTTAAATCATTGATCTATCTGATTTTCTTTTGGTAGAAGGTATGAAATAGATACAGTTCAATTTTTCTCCAGATGGCTACCCAATGGTTCTAACACCATTTATTGAATAATCCAACATTTCCCCACTGATCTGAAATGCCACCTTTAGTATACACTAATTCTCTATTAGTATTTGGGTCTATAGGTAGACTTCCTACTATGCTCTATTCATCGATCTATTTATTCAAGTGCCAATACCATGCTTAAAATTATTGTAGTCTTATTATCTAATAAGGCTAATTTTCCTTCATTATTTTCCTTTTTCAAAAATTTCCTGGGGTTGGCCCTGTGGCTGAGTGGTTAAGTTCGCGTGCTCCACTTCAGCAGTTCAGATTCTGGGCATGGACATAGCACTGCTCATCAGGCCATGCTGAGGTGGCGTCCCACATAGCACAACCAGAGGCGCTCACAACTAGAATATACAACTATGTACTGAGGGGCTTTGGGGAGAAGAAGAAGAAGAAACAAAAGGACACTGGCAACAGTTGTTAGCTCAGATGCCAATCTATTAGAAAACAAATTTCCTAGTATTCCTACTTATTTTTGATATGAACTTTAGAATCAATTTGTCCAGTTCCAAACTAAAAGGCAAAACAAACACTTGTTAGTATTTTTTCTGGGACGGCACTAAGCTTACAAGTTAATACAGGAAGTACTAACACTTCCAGAGCCGAGTCTTTACATTCAAGAATGTAGCACATCTTTCTACTTGGTTACAACTTCTTTGATACACCCTTTACAGCATTTTAAAGTCCCCTTCATTTAGATTTTCACTGTTGTAAACTTACTCCTGAGGAATTTATGCTTTTTCATTAACATTGTAAATGGGCCCTTCTACTCAGAATTTTAAATAGCTACTGTCTGTGTTTTCGTTGAATTGTTATAATAAACGTGTATTATTTTCAAAACAAAAAAGGTCATATTCTAATCTATAAATGTAGATTGCTTTAAGATTTAAGATAAAATAATCAAACTAGTGTCGCACACTTAATAGATAATGATAATAAAGAAGATGGAATCTCGGTTTTAGACTTAACCATTTAACCACTACGAGAATATTTTAGGTAAGAACAGAAAGTAAATTAACTGCAGAGACAAAGACAAGGGAAAAGGTCCAAAAGTAAGTACCATTAGTTGAAGTCATCAACGTTTTAATCCATATAACATGTTTAAACTTCTCTGAAGAATGATAATCTACAAACGTTTTAAGTTGATAAATGAATAAATAATTTACTTGGAGCTCGAAAGGCAGGGTATACAATTCTCCAAGAGTTATAGGAGGCCCCACTAACCACATACCATGAGGTTTCCATGTGTCTCCCACGTTGGTGCTTCAGTTTTATAAAGCTCTTCAAACTGCTGTCTGTATTTTGTAACTAGCTCCTTCTCCAATTTATCAACACAGTCTGCATACTCAACCTGAAAAGAAAATCCAAAGCAGAGCAACTTATGCCTACAGTAAAAGGTAAATATTCAAATGAACACAAATATGAATAATATAAAATTATTAACAAGAGTTGAATTTTATAGGGTAAAGAGAACCAACATGACGAAATGGGCTTACCCTATAGGGGTGTCTTTCATCTTGGAAGTAAGTGAGAAGGTGTAAGACACAACGAAGGATACAGGTTCTTTCTTCATAGTAATAATCTGCAATCTGGGAAGAACCCAAAGATTCAAAATCAGTAACTCACCTTTGTAAAGAAGATATTCAATTTTAAATTTACTCATAAAGAGATCACTTAAAGGTATGAAGGGAAAAGTTCAGGTTCTATAAGCAATCACAGAAATGGAAGCATACTGCTAGGTCAAAAGCAAGCAAAAGACCTTCATGAACTAGTATACGGGTAAAGTCATGCAACATAAAAGGAATTATTTAATAACATGAATAAGTTTTCTAGCATGATTTCTCAGAGCATTCAAGTACACACAACACTATAAACGGATGGGCCAAATACACAAAGGAAAATATAAAAATACCACTGGTATATGTCATAATCGTTTGTAACTAATGTACTTAGTTCTCACTAAATGCCAAATAGGAAACTACTTCAGAAGTCACGGTGAAATACCATTTTAAAATGAGATTCTAAGGTGAAAAGCTTGCTTTGAGAGGCTGGGAGGGAGAATATAAAGGAATAAAGAAATACAAATTAATCCTGTTGCACTTACACCTAGAGAAGAAATATCCATCAACCAGTTCTCACCCCCAGGGGCTGAAGAATCTCCTTTGGAAAAAGCCCTCAGCTGGGTCCAGGGGATAAGAGAGCCTCCTTTCACAAATGAGTTAATAAACTTCTCCATTAAGACCTCAATGCTCACCTAACACAAGAGGCAAAGGCCAGCAATACTCGGGAGAACAAGGTCAAGAAGCCATTACCCAATTCTACACCAAACAATGGAAAGGGTGACTACTACCGACCTTCAGGATTAGGGCCTGGCTCTGCCTCTCGTCTTGCAGTACTGACTAAAGGAAAAAAGAACAGTCAAGAAGCCATCTTATAAGCAAAACTCAATTAACAAAGAAAAAGGTAAACACCCTCATCTCACCCTTCAAGATTATAAACGCCCACTCATTTCTGGAAAGTTTTTACCTAAGCACATCCAAGTCTGTGCTCAATTCTCGGCCCCCTCCTCTGGGCTCCATTTCCTCATATGTAACATGAGGGGCTGAAAAGGCCAGATGTCGTCCCGGGTCCTTTTCAGCTCTGATACCCTGAGATTCTATAATTAACATGTCAATCTTTGACCTCTCCACCCCTCCAAGTCTGAGGACAGAACTCAGCTTAAGTATGTGTTTTGTTTCTTTGATTTTGGGTTTTTTTTTTAAGATTTTATTTTTCCTTCTTCTCTCCAAAGCCCCCCAGTACATAGCTGTATATTTTACTTTTGAGTCCTTCTAGTTGTGGCATGTGGGATGCCGCCTCAGCATGGCTTGATGAGCAGTGCTACGCCCAGGACCCAAACAAGTGAAACCCCGGGCCACCGAAGCAGAATGAGCAAACTCAACCACTCGGCCACGGGGGCCAGCCCCTTAAGTATGTTTTTTTAAGCCTTTAGTCTTTCCTGAGAAGGACTATATCTCATCACCTACCCGTGCTGCAAAGAACTGATAGCAAAACCCTACGTTATCTCAAACCAACAAGGAAAAGGATAAAAGTAGAAGGGAGCTGCACGTAACTACCAACCTTCAGTGAGCCCCGGGTACCTCTGTAATCCTCTTGAAGGTAACACTGGAGTAACTGTACACTCTGTTCTTCATCAAGACCCTGAAACACAGAGGTTCTCAGTGAGGAAACCACACACCATGAGAGCATTCTAAAGGTTTGTCCTCTGCGATGGACACAGAACCTGAATCAACAAAACCCTTTCAAAAGATTCCATACAACATAACAATTTTAACCCAAATAGGAGAAAAAAGGAGGCAGTCACTGACATGTAATTTACAGGTCAGAAACAACCGGGCTGATTCCCCAAGAACAGTACTATAGAGGTGCGATCTGAGTTTCCAAAATGAAAAGAAAACAGCTACATATTTAAATACAATCTAGCCAATTTAAAGACCACCACATGTGCTGAAGAAAACTCTGTGATAGAAGTAACCAGGTCAGGCAACTTGATCTGTGGCTTTTAGCAAGAAGAGTTGCAACTTGGGTATTTTGAAACACAGTATGCTCAATCTCATCTCCAAAACTGAAATAAAAGGAATTTTCACCAAAATCACTAACGATATAACCACTCTCATCCACACTGCAGGTAATAAACTGAGCCGGTGCTCATTTTTACTCACCAAGAACTTGCTGATTCTTAAACCCAGTTCCTTCAGAGGTGAAGCTACATCTTTATTAGCTTTCACTTTTTCAGCGGAATTCGGACTATGAAAAAAAACAATGAATCATTTCCTCTTTCTCAATGACCCCTAGGGTTTAAAATAAAAGCACTTAAAGATACTTTTACTACATACTTTTTTCTGCCTTTTAGATGCCTACAAAATACACACACACACACACACACACACACAAAGTTCATCCTTATAGACTTCATAACAAAGAAGTATTTATGCCCAAGTAATAATTATAGTATACGTCTGTTACAAACTATAGTTTAAATGATATTATTTGTAAATATATTACGTTACAGTAATTAATTTTGATGCTTAAAAGTATCCTGAAAGGTAAGTATTATGATCTCCATTTTACAAATGGAATTACCAACACTGAGGAAGATAAATAACTTACCAAAAATCCCACAGCTAACACAAAGTGGAGGTGACATTTAAAACCAGGTCCGTTAGTATACATACATATATTACCCAGCTCCGTCCACTGAGAAAGCCCAGGAGCTACGACACCCCCGTAGCAGCAAGCACACTCAGCACCCAAATCTTGGTTTCTAATATTATACTCTAATAAAAGGTACCAGGACTCCTTGGAGAAATAGCTGATTCTAGAGCTACATGGGGAAATATACTAGATGAGCCTGGAGCATCTGGTAATGTCAGAAAGTAAGGGAAAACTCAGAAAACAAAAGGATGGGGGCATGTCAAAATGACACAGAAGCCAACCTAAAAGAACTCCCAATGGCCAAAGTTGGAACAAGGTATAAACGAAGTGTAAAATAAATATAAATGAGTCCATAGTGACATAAATGAATGAGTGACTAAACAAATGGGGAGAAGGGGAACTCTGTAAAGAAGTCCAAATAATATACATAGATGCTACCCCCTTCAGGAGGTGGAGCTGAATTCCACCACACCTCCACATTGAGAGTGGGCTACACTTGGTGACTCACTGCCAAACAACAGAAGAGGGAAAGGGGGAAAAGGGACTTTACAGAGGAGAAGCTGAGCACATGCTACCCCACCCGAGTGAGCAAGGTTAACATCGCCAGTGACTCCATGGACAACATGCATCCTCTCATGATGTGACAAGAATGCTACTTCACCTCTGTGTATTCTTCCCCAAACCCCACAACCCCAATCTAGTAATGAGAAAAACAGCAGACAAATCCAAATTCAGGGCCTTCTACAAAACAGTTGACCAGTCCTCCTCAAAACTGTTTGAGGTCATGAAAACAAGGAAAGACTGAGATACTGTCACAGCTATGCTAAGGAGACATGACAACTAAATGCAATTTGGTACCCTGGATTGTATCCTGGAAAGAAAGAGGACGTTAAAAAAAAAAAAAGAAAGAAAGGTTAGATTCAAATAAAGCCTGCAGTCAAAAAAACAAAAAAATGAAAAAATCATTTCTGTCAGACTTCAAATCCCATGCTACCACAAACAGAACTTTTCGCTTTCTAAAAGGAAACTAACGCCACAAACGTCCATTTTGTGAACTAAAGCATGTTGTTCTTGTTGCATTTTTTTTACAGAGACTCACATTTCACAGAAAATCCCCAACACAAAGGCTAGCATAAGGTTAAACAATAAGTTCTGAAAGGGCAACACAGAATGATGATGAAGAACACAGACACTGGAGTAAGACTGCCAGGTTCAAATCCCGGTTCTACCACTTACTACTGTGTGACCTTGGGCAAGTTACTTAACCTGTTTGTGCCTCAGTTTCCCCATCTGTAAAATGGAAACAATAATAAAAGTACCTAAATGTGATAAGATACTGATTATCCTTTTTAAAAGTCCATATATTTTAAATACAGAGTAAAGCATTTACAGATAAAATAATATGACGTCTGGGAGCTACTTCAGAACAATTATGGGGGAAGGGGTGACAGGATGAAAAATGAAAGATCCTCACTAACCTAAGAGAATGAAGATGGAAGGTGAAGACGTAACAAAATCAACCAATGCTCAGAAGTAGAAGGGAAATGAGGGTGGCTTGGGAACTATGATCCATGACAGAATGAGATCTGGACTAGGAATTAACAAGAGTCTACTCCGACAAGGTGCATTCTCTTTTGTAACCACTTTATATTTTACCATTGTTGTTTCCAACTGCTCAGTAAAAGAAAATCTATATATTTGAACAAAGAATAAAAATAGTACGTAACTCAAAGGGCTGACGGGAGGATTAAATAACTTATGCTAAGTCTATGCTTAGGAAAGTAACTGGTACATAGTAAACACTATATAAACATCAGCTGCTATTATCATCGTTCACTGCTACACCCCAGAATGTGGTGCTGACAGTGCCTCACACAAACTTGATGGACCAAAATAAATATTAAGAATAGTGACTCAATATTTAATAAGTCCTCATGCCCAGACACTTGGGCTACATAATTGGATTCAACAATACCGTATTTCTAGAAGGAATTTCCCCTCCTTTCAACAGACAGAAACACGTGCCTTACTCTTGTCCCTGGTAACCAAACTGCGTTCTCTCAGCAATCTCCTAACATGAGGATGGGTCCATCCACGCCGGATCCTCAGGGGAATCACTCTAACCACACGCACAGAAGAGCCATACCTGGGAGGTTTGTAGTAAGAAAGCCCCTCTAACAGCCGCTGCCAATGTTTACTCAGTTCTGCCTCAATCTGATTCTGGAAAAGAGTAAGGAAATTATAAAAATGCAATTTGAATCATACTCCAGGATCACACTGAGGGTAACATATTCCTTTGAGTCTGTTTAATATGCCTTTTCCCCCACAGTTGAAATCATTTTGAATACAGAATTCTGCAGCCTCCTTCTCTTTGTTTAACACTCTAACAAAATGATTTAACCTTCTTATGAAAATCTTGATAAACATCCTTTCTAGTAGTTGCATAATATTTTACCAAGTGGATAGATCATAATTTATTTATCATCCCTCTAATGTTAGAAACACTTAAGCTGACAGTAATTCTTTATTAACATAAATAACGCTATGGTAAAGAGCTCTGTGCACAAAACGTTTTCAAGATTCAGTTTTTTTAAATAAATTCTGAGGGGCTGGCCCTGTGGCCCAGTGGTTAAGTTCGCGCACTCCGCTGCAGGCGGCCCAGTGTTTCGTTGGTTCGAATCCTGGGCGCGGACATGGCACTGCTCATCAAACCACGCTGAAGCAGCGTCCCACATGCCACAACTAGAAGGACCCACAACGAAGAATATACAGCGAGGCTCTGGCTCTAAGACACACCGCATTTCAGCAGAGAGAAAAAGGGAATGCATGTTTACAAAGTTTTAGGAATAAGAAAATGTGTTTACTTCCTAGGTCAAAGAGAAGGCAGGGTTTTTCCCTAATATAAGCTACACAAACAAAGAACGATAGAATCCACTCAAGAACACCACCACTTACCAGTTCTCTCAGAGCCGACCTTCCAAGCAGAATTGTCCACAGTTCTCTACTGCTCCTGAAAATTAGAGAAAGCAGTGGTGATTTTGCTCTTTTAGATTGTACAAACTTGACTAAGCTGTCTCACAGCTATTTTGTCTTCTCTGAAAGCAAGAAACTCAATGTGCAAAACAAATTGTTAAAATTTTGGACGGTATTCCTGTTTTACTGTTCTTGGAAGTTTGATGTTCAAAATAAACATTAAGTGGGGCTGACCCCGTGGCCGAGTGGTCAAGTTCGCACGCTCCGCTGCAGGGAGCCCAGTGTTTCGATGGTTCGAACCCTGGGCGCGGACATGGCACTGCTCATCAAACCACGCTGAGGCAGCGTCCCACATGCCACAACTAGAAGGACCCACGACAAAGAATATACAACTATGGACCAAGGGGCTTTGGGGAGAAAAAGGAAAAAATAAAATCTTTAAAAAAATAAATAAATAATAAACATTAAGAAACTAAAATGTGGGGCTGGTCCTGGGGCCGAGTGGTTCAGTTCTCGTGCTCTGCTGCAGGCGGCCCAGTGTTTCGTTGGTTCGAATCCTGGGCGCGGACACGGCACTGCTCATCAAACCAAGCTGAGGTAGCGCCCCACATGCCACAACTAGAAGGACCCACAACTAAAAATACACAACTATGTACCACGGGGCTTTGGGGAGAAAAAGAAAAAATAAAACCTTAAAAAAAAACACCCTAAAATATAGGATTTTAACCTAAACCAAGCAGATATTGTGCTACAAATGAGGATGGCCACCATATTTCAACACATTTAAGATGCCATTAATTGCAGGACACATGATTATCTACATTCTACAAGTCATCAACAAGAAAACATATTCCAATTTCAGAGGTATTTAAAGTGTGAAAAAATGTGTACTTTAGAATTAATGGAACACACTAAGAAATTACAGTACGTTTTCTATGCTAAGAAGATGCTTCAATTTAGTATTTCAATCTCCTTCCT